GTGTTCCGGTGTACTGTTTGCCCAAAAAAGCGTTCTGTATTGTCTTCTATTTACGTTTTCATTCTAGGAAAGAAAATACGTGTTACGTAGGTTGCAGCACTCTCGTCAGAAGGGGAAGTCTGAAGTTTGGGGTTTTGAACAACGGATCAACATCATGGCACACGGGTGTAACCCATAAGTGATCCGTTCTTCTTCTCACTCAAGTCTTGAGTCCAAAAAAGCTCAGCACAGTGCACAGACTCAGTAGCACCGGCGAGGATCATGGAATACTTTAGGTTGATTGTTAACTCCACATTTTTCCATTAGGACACTCTTTTCGATTTCCAACTGCCAATGGATTTTTTACGTGCGTAACAATGCACAAGAGCGTCCGATCTAACTACCCAGAGACCAGGGGGAATTACTAGAAGTCCAAGTCCACGTGAAAAAAATTCCAGCCCTTACCGGGGATTGAACCTGGAACCTCTGGCACCCAAGGCGTACACCATGCCTCGAGACCACGCAGATTGCAGAAGGGGAGAGAGGGAGGGGTTGTGTTAGGGCTGCTGTGCTAAAATAATAAACACGTGAAATAAACAGTATTGTATATTCCAGCATGTCAGCGGTTTTAACGCTTTGAAAACATGCAGGACTGGCCTAAACATAACTCCCCTATGAAAGTGCTGTAGTCTACGTCACATACATTCTTTTTCTGGGAATGAAAACGTAAATGGAGGGCAACGCAGAAATCTTTTTGAGCAAACAGTACACAGGGACACTCCCATAACATTTAGAAAAGTTGACGAGCCTGAGGAAGCACCAATCAAAAGTTACATAGTATGTAAATAGGCGGAGCTAACACACATTGGGGGAGATTTCCTTAAGGTTTACGACAGATAGAATCCAAGACAGATAGATACTTCCTGACTGGCCTGTAAGAGATGTAACCTTGGGCAGGAACTTCCTGACTGGCCTGTAAGAGATGTAACCTTGGGCAGGAACTTCCTGACTGGCCTGTAAGAGATGTAACCTTGGGCAGGAACTTCCTGACTGGCCTGTAAGAGATGTAACCTTGGACAGGAACTTCCTGACTGGCCTGTAAGAGATGTAACCTTGGGCAGGAACTTCCTGACTGGCCTGTAAGAGATGTAACCTTGGACAGGAACTTCCTGACTGGCCTGTAAGAGATGTAACCTTGGACAGGAACTTCCTGGCTGGCCTGTAAGAGATGTAACCTTGGGCAGGAACTTTATGACTGGCCTGTAAGAGATGTAACCTTGGGCAGGAACTTCCTGACTGGCCTGTAAGAGATGTAACCTTGGGCAGGAACTTCCTGACTGGCCTGTAAGAGATGTAACCTTGGACAGGAACTTCCTGACTGGCCTGTAAGAGATGTAACCTTGGGCAGGAACTTCCTGACTGGCCTGTAAGAGATGTAACCTTGGGCAGGAACTTCCTGACTGGCCTGTAAGAGATGTAACCTTGGACAGGAACTTCCTGACTGGCCTGTAAGAGATGTAACCTTGGACAGGAACTTCCTGACTGGCCTGTAAGAGATGTAACCTTGGGCAGGAACTTCCTGACTGGCCTGTAAGAGATGTAACCTTGGGCAGGAACTTCCTGACTGGCCTATAAGAGATGTAACCTTGGACAGGAACTTCCTGATTAGTCAGTAAGAGACAGAACCAAAGATAGGTTTAGTAAAACCTCTTTAACACGAATTCCCTTGCGATGAACACTGGGTTAATATAAAACGAATTGGGGTCCCAACATGGATCGATTATCCATACATAATACATCTATTAGCCATCGGACAGTACGAATTACATTTGTTATTGTTGTTTTTGTTTGTAATCTGGACTAATGATCTTTGTTTTCAAGGAATGCGTAAAAACGAGTTTTTTTTTTTTTTTTTTACTGGCTAGAAGTGGTAAAAACCAAAGTCAGCTATTGATTCTAATGAGTCTTGATATGGCAATAAACACCATATTCCAACTGAAGACGATGTGTAAGAACACAATCTTTTAGTGGTCATGTTCAATGTATACAATCGCTGGTGTTGTATGGAGGTAAGAGCTGGACTGTGGAAATAGACAGGAGGATTCGGGTTTTTAAATATTAATTCTTTGGTGATCTCTGCGAATTATCTGTTTAGAACATAAAACTACAAATATGTAAAAGACCAAAGTAACAAATTTGCAGGACATGAAGAATGTGATGAGATGCTTTGCACTGTCTCCACGCTCACAGCAAGTCAAGCAGAAAATCTGTCATTTGGCTAGTAACTAGGATCAGAAACAAATACTCCAAATTTGGCTAGTAACTAGGATCACAGACAAATACTCAAAATTTGGCTAGTAACTAGGATCAAAGACAAATACTCCAAATTTGGCTAGTAACTAGGATCAGAAACAAATACTCCAAAACTGGCTAGTAACTAGGATCAGAAACAAATACTCCAAAACTGGCTAGTAACTAGGATCAGAAACAAATACTCCAAAACTGGCTAGTAACTAGGATCAGAAACAAATACTCCAAAACTGGCCAGTAACTAGGATCAGAAACAAATACTCCAAAACTGGCTCGTAACTAGAATCAGAAACAAATACTCCAAAACTGGCTAGTAACTAGGATCAGAAACAAATACTCCAAAACTGGCTCGTAACTAGGATCAGAAACAAATACTACAAAACTGGCTAGTAACTAGGATCAGAAACAAATACTCCAAAACTGGCTAGTAACTAGGATCAGAAACAAATACTCCAAAACTGGCTAGTAACTAGGATCAGAAACAAATACTCCAAAACTGGCTAGTAACTAGGATCAGAAACAAATACTCCAAATTTGGCGAGTAACTAGGATCAGAAACAAATACTCCAAATTTTGCTAGTAACTAGGATCAGAAACAAATACTCTAAATTTGGCTCGTAACTAGGATCAGAAACAAATACCCCCAATTTGGATTGTAAGTAGGATCAAAGAAAAATACTCCAAATTTGGCTAGTAACTAGGATCAAAGACAATTATCCCTAATTTGGCTAGTAACTAGGATCAAAGAAAAATACTCAAATTTAGCTAGTAACTAGGATCAAAGACAAATACTCCAAATTTGGCTAGTAACTATGATCAAAGACAAATACTCCAAATTTGGCTAGTAACTATGATCAAAGACAAATACTCCAAATTTGGCTAGTAACTAGGATCAGAAACAAATACTCCAAATTTGGCTAGTAACTAGGATCAGAAACAAATTCTCCAAATTTGGCTAGTAACTAAGATCAGAAACAAATACTCCAAATTTGGCTAGTAAATAGGATCAGAAACAAATACTCCAAATTTGGCTAGTAACTAGGATCACAGACAAATACTCCCAATTTGGCTAGTAACTAGGATCAAAGACAAATACTCCAAATTTGGCTAGTAACTAGGATCAGAAACAAATACTCGAAAACTGGCTAGTAACTAGGATCAGAAACAAATACTCCAAAACTGGCTAGTAACTAGGATCAGAAACAAATACTCCAAAACTGGCTAGTAACTAGGATCAGAAACAAATACTCTAAAACTGGCTAGTAACTAGGATCAGAAACAAATACTCCAAAACTGGCTAGTAACTATAATCAAAAACAAATACTCCAAAAATGGCTAGTAACTAGGATCAGAAACAAATACTCCAAATTTAGCTAGTAACTAGGATGAGAAACAAATACTCCAAAACTGGCTAGTAACTATAATCAGTAACAAATACTCCAAAACTGGCTAGTAACTAGGATCAGAAACAAATACTCCAAATTTGGTTAGTAACTAGGATCAAAGAAAAATACTCCAATTTTGCTAGTATTTAGCATCAAAGATAAATTCTCCAAATTTGGCTAGTAACTAGGATCAGAAACAAATACTCCAAAACTGGCTGGTAACTAGGATCAGAGATAAATACTCCAAAACTGGCGAGTAACTAGGATCAGAAACAAATACACCAAAACTGGCTAGTAACTAGGATCAGAAACAAATACTCCAAAACTGGCTGGTAACTAGGATCAGAAACAAATACTCCAAAACTGGCTAGTAACTAGGATCAAAAACAAATACTCCAAAACTGGCTAGTAACTAGGATCACAGACAAATACTCCAAATGTGGCTAGTAACTAGGATCAGAAACAAATACTCCAAAACTGGCTCGTAACTAGGATCAGAAACAAATACTCCAAAACTGGCTAGTAACTAGGATCAGAAACAAATACTCCAAAACTGGCTAGTAACTAGGATCAGAAACAAATACTCCAAAACTGGCTCGTAACTAGGATCAGAAACAAAAACTCCAAAACTGGCTAATAAATAGGATCAGAAACAGATACTCCAAAACTGGCTAGTAACTAGGATCAGAAACAAATACTCCAAATTTGGCGAGTAACTAGGATCAGAAACAAATACTCCAAATTTGGCTAGTAACTAGGATCAGAAACAAATATCCCCAATTTGGCTAGTAACTAGGATCAGAAACAAATACTATAACTTTGGCTCGTAACTAGGATCAGAAACAAATATCCCCAATTTGGCTAGTAACTAGGATCAAAGACAAATACTCCAAATTTGGCTAGTAACTAGGATCAGAAACAGATACTCCAAATTTGGCCAGTAACTAGGATCAGAAACAAATTCTCCAAATTTGGCTAGTAACTAGGATCAGAAACAAATACTCCAAATTTGGCTAGTAACTAGGATCAGAAACAAATACTCCAAATTTGGCTAGTAACTAGGATCAGAAACAAATACTCCAAATTTGGCTAGTAACTAGGATCAGAAACAAATACTCCAAATGTGGCTAGTAACTAGGATCAGTAACAAATACTCTAAATTTATGGGCCAGTACAAGATTGAGTCAAAGAGGAATGCTCTCTGATTGGTCAGTAGTAGTCTCACTCAAAGAACAATACCCTGTGTGCAAACACCCTGACCCCTGTGTAAAATTAATATCGTTTGTGTATAATACAACAGCCTTACCCTTTCTGTTTCGCCCACAGAACTGCGAGGAGAGCCATAATGACACGCTCGATTTACTGCTGGTGAACACAGAAACATCAATTGTGTACGTGGCCCGATTCATCGCCTCTTTGCTGGAGCACTACCACTGGACATCATTCTGGCTAATCAGCGGCGTTAGTATTAAATGGACGAACGTGGCCCACCAACTCCGGACAATTGTTGCTGCCAAAAATATCAGGTAGGTGATGTTATGTTGTTCTCGACATAATCTGTTTCCCAGTCTCGACAATAAGATAAATGGCCCCTACGTTGACGAGGATGATAGTGGCGAAGATAAATGGCCACTATGTTGACGAGGATGATAGTGGCGAGTGGATCACAGCAGCAAGGAGATAGTAGAACAGAGAAGCAGCAGCAAGGAGATGGGCAGCCGGGCTAGAACGTTGAGACAACATGCAGCAGCAAGGAGATGGGCAGTCGGGCGAGAACGTTGAGACAACATGCAGCAGTCTACCATAAACATAGATAAAACTGACTGGCTACAGCGAGCCCTCAGGACATAAATGATGCTGATTCATGGAACCAAATGCAGTGCACCTTTTTGTTTGGTGGGGGAACATCTGGCAGACACAGGAATACAAGAAAAATGATCACAGACAGGCCGAGAGCTAAGCCTTTGAGTAGGAGCACTATGATATTGTCTCCTCCATGTCTTAGCTGGTTTCTAGATGTTTGTTCTTATTAAAGACACGACTGACACTCTAAGTAGACACAAATGGTACGAGAAGACGATGTCTCAGTAATTATACTTCATTACAGTTTCACATACCATTTGTAGTGTCCACTAGGAACTAGCAAGTCCAGCATTATAATATGACATTTTTCAGACATCAACTTGGAATATTCTTTAGTACGCACTCAGTACCTCTCAGTCCTCCTTGCTCACATTCAGAATTCACACCATCGTTGCTCCGGCAGTTCTGAGCATTGTGGTTCGACGTTTTGAGCAATTGGAACTGGTTGGATGCTGCTTCGGGTCAGATCGTCGCCAGGCTGTTATCTTGTTGTCTTCTCTCAAACCAGTACTCCTCGCGTCGCCAAATACACAGTTACGTTGACGCGGAATCTCAGATACACCCATTCGCTCTGGCTGGCAAACTCATATTGTCTGAGTAGAATTTTGTGTAATCTTATAACCTTGTGCTTGGTTCCACGTGGCTTCACGTGTTCGTCTACCCTGCTCGAGTACGTCGTATGTCTACGAGTATTTGTGTTATCCCGTTTTTCCCCTTAACATTATTCCCCAGGGAATCCCCATGTGAAAAAAAAAAAAAAAAAAAACAACAACAACAACAACATTAAAAGCAGACTAAATGCATGTGATTGTAACCATGGTCCTCAAATCCCGATCTATAATTGTCGAAGACTTTTCTTAACGCGGGCGGGTCACACTCGCTATCGCCATGGGCTGTGAGTCCCATGCTTCGACATAGCACAACACTATCGCCCGGAAAGTAGGGAACATTGGCAACAACAAGCAGAATTGTTGTCTCAATGAATGTCAGTGCATTTACCTTTGATACTGGCAGGTGTGAGAATTTTACGCGAACAAAGATACCTGTTGGATGCAACAAATCTAGTTAGGTCCATCTGATCGATATTGCGGCTCTGACGTAATAGCGCGGTACCGGGGTTGGATCCCAGCTGCAGGCATTTTGGCAGAAAACTTCTGGCGCTCGTTACACAGTGGTGTCAAGAGCTGATCGTTAAGTTAGCAATGGCAAACTACTCAAATTTAAATTTAAGTTAAAATACCACAACGGCAGAGAAAAAAGGATTTGTAGGACTGGTTCTGTAACATCCTGCACGAAATAAGAAAATGACTACTTTATTCCGTCTACAGGCTCTTGTATGTACCTATATGTGACAGAGTGTCTATAGTCCTGTATGTCTCTCTGTGTGACATTTTGTCTACAAACTTGTATATCTCTGCATGTGACACAGTCTCTTGTCTTGTATGTTTCTATATGTGACAGGGTTTCTACAGTCTTGATTCATACAATCTTCTATGTCTGTATATGTGACACGGTTTCTACAGTCTTGATTAATACAATCTTCTATGTCTGTATATGTGACACAGTGTCTACAACCTTGTATGTCTATATGTGACAGTGTCCAAGGTCTTGTATGTTTCACAGTGTCTATAGTCTTGTTGTCTACAATCGTGTATGTCTCTATATGAGACTTGTTGTCTATAATTGCGTATGTCTGTATATGTGACAAAGTGTCTAAAGTAAAGTCGTGTAGTTCTTTATGTGACATAGTGTCTACAGTCTTGTTTTTCTTCACGTGTGAAACTTTGTCCAAAATCTTTTATGTCTCTGTACATATCACGTTTTGTTTGAGTTTGTTATGTTGGAAGCTCACTGATATACTTTTCGTTCAGTGTTATGTGCTTTCCTGTACATGACACGGCATCTAGAGTCATGTTTTTCTCTATATTTGGAACGGTCTCTTGAATCGTGTATGTCTCTATCTGTGACACGTGTCTACAATCATGTATGTCTCTTTATTTAAAACGGTGTCTTGAATCATGTATGTCTCTATCTGTGACACGTGTCTACAATCATGTATGTCTCTATATGTGACACGTGTCTACAATCATGTATGTCTCTATCTGTGACACACAATCGTGTATGTCTCTATATGTCTTGCATGTTCTCTATTGTTGTCTACAATCATGTATGTCTTATATGTGACACGTGTCTACAGACACTGTATGTGTCTCTATCTGTGACACACAAGTTTGTCTAGAATCGTTTTTTTTTTTTGACATGTCTACAGATATGTGTCATATGACAGTTTATAAATCGTGAATGTCTCTATATGTGTCATGATATTTATAATCTTTTATGTCTGTGTATGTGACTTGATATCTATAATCTTTTATGTCTCTGTATGTGACATAATATCTATAATCTGTTATGTCTCTGTATGTGATATGGTATCTATAATCTGTTATATCTCTGTATGTGACATAATATCTATAATCTTTTATGTCTCTGTATGTGATATGGTATCTATAATCTGTTATGTCTCTGTATGTGACATAATATCTATAATCTGTTATGTCTCTGTATGTGATATGATATATGTAATCTTGTATGCCTCTATATGTGACATGGTGTCTACCACCTTGCATGTCTCTATATGTGACATGATATCTGTAATCTTGTATGTCTCTATATGTGACATGCTGTTTACCACCTTTGCCTATCTCTATTTGTGACATGATATCTGTAATCTTGTATGTCTCTATATGTGACATGATATCTGTAATCTTGTATGTCTCTATATGTGACATGATATCTGTAATCTTGTATGTCTCTATATGTGACATGATATCTGTAATCTTGTATGTCTCTATTTGTGACATGATATCTGTAATCTTGTTTGTCACAAAATGTGACATAATATCTGTAACCTTGTACGTCTCTATATGTGACATGATGTCTGTAATCTTGTATGTCTCTATATGTGACATGGTGTCTGTAATCTTGTATGTCTCTATATGTGACATGATATCTGCTATCTTGTATGTCTCTATATGTGACAGGATATCTGTAATCGTGTATGTCACAAAATGTGACAGGATATCTGTAACCTTGTACGTCTCTATATGTGACCTGTCGTCTACAATCTTGTAAGTCTCTGTATGTGACAACTGTCTAAGTTTTGTAAGACTGTATGAGACACTGCGTTTAAAGACTTGTATATCTCTATATGTTATCTACAATTTTCTATGTCTCTATACGTGACCCAGTATCTAGTATTGTATGTCTGTCTCTATATGTGGCATGGTGTCTACAATCTTTTATGTACAATCTTTTATGTCAGTATAGGTGTCACCATGTCTACAACCTTGTTTGTCTCTATTTGTGCCAATAACGACAGTCTTGCATGTATCTATTATGTCTCTGTATGCGACATGTTGCCTATAGTCTTGTATGTCTCTGTATGCGACATGTTGCCTATAGTCTTGTATGTCTCTGTATACGACATGTTGCCTATAGTCTTGTGTGTCTCTGTATGCGACATGTTGCCTATAGTCTTGTGTGTCTCTGTATGCGACATGTTGCCTATAGTCTTGTATGTCTCTGTATGCGACATGTTGCCTATAGTCTTGTATGTCTCTGTATGCGACATGTTGCCTATAGTCTTGTATGTCTCTGTATGCGACATGTTGCCTATAGTCCTGTATGTCTCTGTATGCGACATGTTGCCTATAGTCTTGTATGTCTCTGTATGCGACATGTTGCTATAGTCTTTGTATGTCTCTGTATGCGACATGTTGCCTATAGTCTTGTATGTCTCTGTATGCGACATGTTGCCTATAGTCTTGTATGTCTCTGTATGCGACATGTTGCCTATAGTCTTGTATGTCTCTGTATGCGACATGTTGCCTATAGTCTTGTATGTCTCTGTATGCGACATGTTGCCTATAGTCTTGTATGTCTCTGTATGCGACATGTTGCCTATAGTCTTGTATGTCTCTGTATGCGACATGTTGCCTATAGTCTTGTGTGTCTCTGTATGCGACATGTTGCCTATAGTCTTGTATGTCTCTGTATGCGACATGTTGCCTATAGTCCTGTATGTCTCTGTATGCGACATGTTGCCTATAGTCTTGTATGTCTCTGTATGCGACATGTTGCCTATAGTCTTGTATGTCTCTGTATACGACATGTTGCCTATAGTCTTGTATGTCTCTGTATGCGACATGTTGCCTATAGTCTTGTATGTCTCTGTATGCGACATGTTGCCTATAGTCTTGTATGTCTCTGTATGCGACATGTTGCCTATAGTCTTGTATGTCTCTGTATGCGACATGTTGCCTATAGTCTTGTATGTCTCTGTATGCGACATGTTGCCTATAGTCTTGTATGTCTCTGTATACGACATGTTGCCTATAGTCTTGTATGTCTCTGTATGCGACATGTTGCCTATAGTCTTGTATGTCTCTGTATGCGACATGTTGCCTATAGTCTTGTATGTCTCTGTATGCGACATGTTGCTTATAGTCCTGTATGTCTCTGTTTGGGACATGTTGCCTATAGTCTTGTATGTATTTATATGCGACAAATTGGCTACAATTGTCTGTGATTCTTTATGTGACA